CAGGTATTCATAAGGCTGCATTGATCTAGTTATTCTAAGGCCGGTCAACATGTAGACATCGGCCAGAGTAATGGTCATCGGGCCATGACAAAAAACGAAAGCGTTCAGGGCATTGGACCAGAAATAAGATGCGGAAATCAAGAGTGAATCATTCCTCTCCATCCCAGACAACGAGAGTGTCAAACATTGATTCAAATCATACACCTCCCAATCTTCGGCCTTTTTCTCGGATACCCTACGAAACCAATCTCTCCACCCCTTGGGTATTTTAGGCCAGTTTCTGAAGGGGTTTTTGATATTCCAGGAGGACGAATCCACTACAGATAGTTTAAAGGGGATTTGGTTAGTTTCTTGACGGATGAAATCAGATGGGTTAGGATCACCCATAGGTCTAAGAAAATAGACATTGGAAGCAACAGTTGATGAAATCAAGATTTCATTCCTCATTTCCTAGAAATCAGATGAAATAAATTTAAGAAGAAAAGAAATATAGGGTAGCGGCCGATACTTGGAGAATGGAAGCTTGGAAGCATACCTCAGGGACGTGGTCACTAGTCACCATTGTAGCCAAAATAGACTTGAATCTAACAAAGATCGCTTGAATAATGGCTTGATAAAATAGAGGATTTGCTAGGGTTTGAGGCCTTAGCGATGATGGCGTCGGATGTTGAGATTGGCTCGAGGAAGAAAGGAAAAGCAAACAGGCCAAGTGAGTTGGAAGAGATACTATTGGGATATTATATAAAACTTAGGCCAAAAAGTCAGGAGTTATGCGTATATCCCGGGATAGAACGGTTGCGGCGTGGTAAACGGATAAATAGGAATTTTGGAATAAAATCACTTTTATCCTAAAATTAGGGGCATGTGTTTACACCAAAATTTTGAAGAAGAACGCGGGAACTCAAATGCTTCAAAGATTGTGTCAATCAAGAAATCGATTGCATAAGGATCGATATTAGCTAATTCAGACGCGATACTAGAATCGACTCTCTTTGAATGACGTCAGCAGATAACGATAATGAGTTATGGTTGGCATCGGAGAACTACATATTGGACTCTACAAAAAGGAAAAAAATTAGGGTCCAAGTTATTTTAAGATAGGAATGTTTTCTTCAATACCAAAGATTGTAATGAGTCATACTCGAGTAGGATTCATGCATAGGTTTTGGATATAAATATTAGACCCCGGCTATTATAAAGGACACACAATCAATCAAATACAAGTTACTTACTTTTTTTGGCTTCGGCCACCCTATAAGAGTAGGAGTAGAGTAGAGCTCGGTGAGTTCTTCAACGAAAGGCTATCTATCGATCCGCCGACCTCCGGCTTGTCTCAGAAGTACCTTCATGGCTTATACTTACATTAAATACATTTCTTGATCCGGTTGATCTCCACTGCTACTCTGGTATAAGCTAGTTAGCGACTCTTGTCTAGTTCAAGTACGGCTGCATCGGTTCCGGTTCGACCTCCACTGCTTGAACTAGATTAAGGTCAAGTTATCGGCTCTATCTAAGGGTGGCATCCTTTGGATAGATTCATTAAGTTACCGATCTTGCTAATGTCTCTCATTGTTGTCAATTTACAGCAATATCAATCCACCCGGTCGAGATCGAATTAGATCGGCCTTATATCCTTTCAATCCGTCGTTCGCTTTATTACAACACGATATTTCTTACTCTAAACGATGGGTTATGCTTCATCGACTGTTTTTACTTCGATCTTGATCTTGCATAGTACGCGGTTGAGGCATGAATAATCTTGAAGAGGTTTGCTGGCTGGTTGAATCTGATTTATAGTTCACCATTATGTCTGTAACGATCCGATCGATCCCCACTGATGCCACTATAGATTGGGGGATGCTAGTTAGTAGATTTATTCCTAGTTAGGCGTGACCTTAGCTGTTTGCTATGCTTGCATCGGCTAAATAGCCGATCGCCTGTGCGTTAACGCCTACGGTGTGTGTCCATGATTCTGTTAAGCGTGAATAGATCTGTGTGCTTTGAGGGCTTGATTCGTCGTCTTTTTGATGGCTGCATCGATCCGGTCGAACCCCACTGTTAGGGATAGCGGGTTGAGTCTAAGGAGTTCACGGGTTTGTTCATGTGAAATAGTCGATTGTTCACACGCTGTAGTCCTTTTCACCCGAATCGATTATTTTAACCGATTCATCCGAGCCTTCATGTATAGCATGTCTTTCGGAAAGCCTATCGAAGTACGGATGTGTTTGCGGATTCTTTGGTTTTAGTTTGTTACTATCATCATAGCTGCCATCGATCCGGTCGAACCTCACTGTTGGTGGTAATAGATTAAATTCAGAGCGTTTGTGGATCCGTTCGTATCAGATAGTCGATTCGTTCGTGTGCTATATCTTTTCATGATTAGATTCATCGGCTTAATGGTTTACACTAGCAATATCTATCTAGATAATGATCTTATTTACATATACGTGTACTGTACCCGTCAATATAAAATTAATCACTACTCATAAGCTTTACAGTTAACAGCCGATTTCTGTGCGGATCGGCTATTTAGTCGCCTTTCGCGTCTGGCTGCTCCCGAAGCGGCACACTTGGAATTGTCTGGGCATAGACCGGCATATTTCACCTTAAATTACTGATAAACTTTCTCTCCTTGTCAATTGCAGGGTCAAATTGACTGGCACGTCTCGGAAGGAGTATGCAGGATCGATCATCCCTGCGTTGAAGCCAGACAGATCTCCAGTTCCATCGAGCAGACCCTTTCGGCTTGCTCGTGTGCCCGGCACGAGACGAATTTTTATGCCGACAATAACTAATCTAATGATACTTATTTTCTTTCATAAGTATTAGTGTTTTTTTATATAATTGTAGTTAAAGTTTGAAATGTTTAACTCATCGGGATATAAAAATTGCATTCTTTTGTTCACGATGTAAAGAGATGGTCCCCGTAGCAAGACGATGGTTGTCCCCAAGTGCATGCCATGCGTCTTCCCAAAAGCGACCTGAGCAAAACTGCATAGGCTGACAACGGCCTTGTTTAGATTCAAGTTTTTTCACTTTCTCCATCACATCAAATCTTTTGGACACATGTATGGAGTATTAAATATAGATAAAAAAATAACTAATTACATAGTTTGATTGTAAATTACGAGACGAATCTTTTGAGCCTAGTTAGAATATGATTGAATAATAATTGTCAAATACAAACAAAAGTGCTACAGTGATCGAATACTGATTGTTAACCGCGAATTAAACAAGGCCAACGTATACTTTACAGTTTAGCGAACGACCACGGTTCGTCCGATTGCGTTGCTAAGACAAGCGTCCAAGATCCAGCGCCGACGGTAGATAGCACCCTCGGTGGGCAGCTACCATCCGTTTTAGAAAATCCACTCTATACTATATAGTATATTAAAAGTCATATACATAAAGCTAAAACGACTTACTAGGCCATGTTCGTTTCGCTAAAAAAAAACAAGTCAAAATACTGTTTCGACTGATTTGTTGTGAGAGAAAAATATTGTTCCGACTAAAAAAAAGCTAAAAAGTACGGATTATAAGAGAAACGAACAATGCCATAACCACCGCTGCTGGGTACATAAGAAATAGTGGTTGAGGACAAGATCATAAGAGGATATTCGTTTCTTTGTCCAGGCTTGCCTCATCCAACGTCATGTTCGTTTGGGATAGTTTGACTTATAAGTCATGGCTGAAAATACTGCTGATTGGTTTGGTGTGAAAAGAAAAATACTATTTATTGACTGATAAACCATAGTTTATAAGCTAAATACGATTAAGTGAACAGACTGAAAGCTAAGCAAGAAGACAAAGAGGAATAGCTGTTTGGATCTAAATTCTAAAACAAGCTTACACCAGACGTGTGCAGGGAAGGTTCCCTTTATCTTATTTCTGCGGGAGATGTAAATCAGTTTGCACATGTTAGCAAGACTAACCTTGCTCAGGGAGCTACGGCTAGCGAACTGGACAAGTATACCAAAATATCTGGAATCTAGATTCTCATTACCTCTAGTTAGTTGATTCGTGGGATTTGAGATATACTCCTTTCGTCTCAAAATAACTCTTCGTCTCGCATTTCGAGAAGACAAACAATCCAAACATATATAAAAAGATACTAATATTTATAATATCGAATAAATATTATTAGATTAGTTATATATATCATATGTTTTTGTAATAACATATTTAGAGATATATTTTTGATACTATTTTATGTATATATCTAGTATCTAGCTAAAGTTGAGATCAGCTGACTCATCAAAAATACGAGGGGGTGATTTATTTTGAGCGAAAGAGTATCATCTTGTTTAAAGATAAAAAATAGAAAATAGAAAAAGATAGCTGTTTGGTTAAGAGGCTAGCTTGTTTTGGGACTTGAGCATTTGAGCTAACAAAACAAAAAAGATATCTTGTTACCCTAATTTAGTTTGGCCCCGTTTAGATCAAATTTTTTTGGATTTTGGCTACTGTAACACTTTCGTTTGTATTTGGCAATTAGTGTCAATTATAGACTAATTAGGTTCAAAAGTTTCGTCTCGCGATTTCTCACCCAACTGTGCAATTAGTTTTTTTTTCATCTACATTTAATACTCCATACATGTATCGTAAAATTCGATATGACGAGATGCTGCGTAATTTTTTTTAATCTAAACGGGACCTTAGCGCCAACAAGTCGTACGGCAATCGTTTGCCTCAGAACCAAACATGCCGCGTGTCTGTTAGGTTTTGGTTGACCGTCCCTAGCAGACACGCGGCCAGGCGGGCCCACTCGTCCCCTCAGTGCCTTTCGCTTTCCATCCCTCCCTCCATCCTGTACAAATCTCCGCCACAGACGAAGAATCTCCTTCCAGCAGTCTCCTCGACCGACGCTCCCATTCTTGGAGAGCAAGAACAACGCGCAGTCCAAAAGCGAGACAAAGGGGGAAGGGGGCGAGGCAGCAGCCAAACGAATCCCACGCGTTCCAGCACCTGCCTCTCCTCTCCTTGCTCGCGCAGATCTAGCGATGGCGGCGGGCGGCGACACGGCGGCGTGGGGGGAGGAGCCCGTGGCGCGGCGCCGGCCCAAGACCAAGATCGTCTGCACGCTCGGCCCGGCGTCGCGGTCCATCGAGATGATCTCGCGCCTGCTGCGCGCCGGCATGTGCGTCGCGCGCTTCAACTTCTCCCACGGCTCCCACGAGTACCACCAGGAGACGCTCGACAACCTCCGCGCCGCCATGGAGCTCACCGGGATCCTCTGCGCCGTTATGCTCGACACTAAGGTCCGGTCCTTCCCTCTCTTACCTTCCTTCTCAATCCTCGCGGGGCCTCGTGCTACCCTTCGCGATCTGTGATTATACGGTGTTGCTTCCTTAACTTGCTATGCCGCCTGCTCCACTTACGTTTTTTAGGGGGTTTCCATTTTGGTTCCTGTGACCGTTTTAGATCACAATTTCGTTTCCCCTGGTCAACTTTTAGGGATCTGATGACGCTAGATGTGATCTCTACTTCCTTATGTCGGCGCCGACGTTCTTTTGGACGTTTCTGCCTACTGTTGCTTGTTCTTGATTCCTGGGGCGGAAATCCCCGACCATTCCTGTTGCCCGAACCCGAAAAGCAACTGGCTGCTTGTGCCTGCTAGTACTTGCTTTAGCACTAGCACTACAAGTTAATTTGGTTGCCAGCTGCCAACTGTGGACGACCAATTGGCAATTAGTACTTCAAATCTCTGAAGATCTAGGCATTAATGTCCAGCAACCAGCATGTGGCTTGGCTCGCATGCGAATTTCGCAATTGGATGGAAAACTCGTACTTCGGCTTCTTGTTGTCCATTTCCATTCACCATTGGCTGTGGGCCTGTGGGCCTCATCCACGGCCACTTCTCCTTTCTGTGTTTCATCAGTCTTAACTGATTTTTGTTCTGTTCTGCTCAGTTTTTGGCTTGGGTTGCTAAAGTCTGGTACTGTTACAGTACCTGTCTGAAAGTGATAATGAAAAATGAACAATCACAATATTGTTTCGAGATTTTTTGATCTTTTATTAATTCAGATGATGGAAGAAAACGTAAATGTGATTAATTGATAAATGAAATGGTGTTAGGAAAGGGGGAAATTCAGAATTATTCAATACTTGGTCTTCTTTTTCTGCTTTTCTTTGTTTTTTTCCTGATATTCTTCTGTAATTTGTGATTTTTTTTAGTTATCTAAAGAGATAATTTAGCTGTGATTCAACTGTGCTCTATAAATTTTTCTATGCTAATTTAATTTTCTGACCATTCACAATGATATGAAATAAGCATCATATGAAACAATACCATACTGATTCACAGAAAATGATTTAAGTCAATCTGTTCGGTCTCAGTTTGCCATTACTTGATTTGAAATCTGGTACCATGGCCGAGGCCCTTGACTATATCATTCAGTAATGGGCAATTTTCCAAAAGAAAATACGCAATGAAGTTTTACTGTTTCTATATAAAAACAAACTTGTTCACTCAGTGATTCTTGTATAATTGCTCGCCATATCTCAGATGGAAACATGCTTGTAAAATCAATTTAGGCTTTGTGATATAGAATCTTTTATAACGATAGCGAGTTAGTCACATGTTTGGTTGGGTAGTTTGCATAAGCTAGTCAAGCTATCATGAAGCACAAAAGGATAGTTTAGCTGGTGAGAAACTCAAACTGAACTTCCACCAAATCTTGTGATCGAGACATCTGTGGGTGATTAAAATAGACATCCTGTTTCTATCTTCAGTTGTGGTTTGTTAAGTTCTCTTGAGCTTGATGAAGGCATGTTGGTATCTTCGTTAATTTTCTTTTACACCCTATACTGTCCTATGCTTTCAACCTTGTAGCATCCATGAGTCAACCAAAACATCTCAATCCACCATCCATACTTGCTCCCCTATTCTACCCAATGATCACAACCATCAAGCCACACTGGATCTATGTGAGCATCAATCATGGTCAGCAGGGCAGACAAACATATTAGTAATCACAATCAGTATGTAACCTGGCCTAGTCTTGTCAGGTATTATCTAGCTCCCTTTGTGTTTAGGTTACCTTGAGGGAAAATTTTCTGTTTGTTTGTCATCTTGAGGGAAGACGACCTCAGCTAGTTGCCTGATTCCTGCATGAAACCCGGAACAGATCGAACCTGCAAAACCTTGAGGTCTTATTTCGTATTTGTTATTCAGGCACGGAAAATGGTAATAAATACAGCATATCAGTTGAAATTCGTACTGTAAATATCCATTGGACCAATGTAAATAGCTGTCAACTAGTGAGACCCTTTGCTTGGTATCCTTACTTACACTTGTCATATTCTTTGCATTATTATTATCTTAGAACATCTTAGTATTGGCATACTGTTTGTCTATTCAGCCCTGAACTCAAACCATGAATCTGCAGCACCCAATTTATATCAATTTCAATCAGGCATAATATTAGCCCAGTAATTTAGATGGGAAGAAATTTGTGTACTGACAGCATCTGAACTGAGTGCACATTACCTCCTATGACCAGCCAAGCAATCCCAACTTGCATTCCCTCATTCTGCTCCAACCAAATGGCCCTATTAGCTAGCCTTTAGCTTTGAACCCAAAATGCACGTCTTTACACTTTACAAACCTGACATAGTACAACTTATAAAAGATTAAGCAGCATTTTTTGACTTTGCCTTAAATGTTATGTAATTACCCTCTACTGCTACTCCATGGATTTGTTTTACTCATCTTACTGACTGTTACCGTGCGTTCAAACTCCGTGGATTTGTGAAGTAAAGACTATGATCAAACTTCAGCCATGAACAGTACCACAAATGCGTGTAGTGAGGGGGCTGTTTGGTTGGGACCTGCCAGGCAGCGATCATGACCCCAGGCAGATGAAATTGTCCGTCTGGGAGCGCTGCCTGTACCAGGCAGGTTTCCTAGGAATCCCAAGCAACAGCCACTAGAAGTAGTCATGCCAAAATGTTTGCTTGTGTTCGATATGATATTCCTCCCTATCAAATCCAAATTACATAGATATGTCCTGATACATAAAAAGCGTCAGAATGTGCCATCCTTGTATTTGGAAGCTGAAAATTGCAGTATGCATGTCTGGGTGGTTTGAAATATAGTTTGTGGTCTTCCTTTCTTTCTTAGTTGGAATAGACATCTTGAACTCAACTTCCTGCCAAATAATCTGCACATTCTATTATGATATACTCAATATTAATTTTCCATGTATGCACATCTTAGTGTAAGCAGTTTGATAATATGAAATGGAAACATGACTGCCATTTTTATATTTCATTAGCTGTATGACTTATGGATTATCCCCTGTGTGTAGAAACAGTACTGGAAACCTTTGCATAATTGTGCTATGCAAATGTATACTGGCCTCATATTCATTGCATGTCCTGATATATATTGCAGGGTCCAGAGATTCGAACTGGTTTTTTGAAAGATGGGAAGCCTATTCAGTTGAAAAAAGGTCAAGAAATCACAATTTCCACAGACTACAGCATTAAGGGTGATGAGAAAATGATATCGATGAGCTACAAGAAGCTTGTGGATCTGAAGCCAGGCAGTGTGATATTGTGTGCTGATGGTACCATCACTCTTACTGTGCTTCTCAGCAATAAAGAACAAGGTTTGGTTCGCTGCCGTTGTGAGAACACTTGGATGCTTGGTGAGAGGAAGAATGTTAATCTTCCAGGAGTTATTGTTGATCTCCCCACACTCACAGACAAGGACAAGGAGGACATCCTTAAGTGGGGTGTTCCAAACAAGATTGACATGATTGCCTTGTCATTTGTTCGGAAGGGTTCGGATCTTGTGGAGGTTAGGAAGGTACTTGGTGAGCATGCCAAGTCCATAATGCTGATGTCAAAGGTATGGTTATGGCATTCTCTTTTGGGTTTCAAGCTAGTAGATTTCCGAATTCAAGGTTATAATAATTGATTTGAATATGCAGGTTGAGAATCAAGAGGGAGTAGCTAACTTTGATGATATCCTGGCAAACTCTGATGCTTTTATGGTGGCAAGAGGTGATTTAGGGATGGAAATTCCTATAGAGAAGATTTTCTTTGCACAGAAGGTGATGATTTTCAAGTGCAATATTCAAGGCAAGCCTGTTGTGACTGCAACCCAGATGTTGGAATCTATGATCAAGTCTCCTCGCCCTACTCGGGCAGAAGCAACCGATGTTGCAAACGCAGTTCTTGATGGCACGGACTGTGTCATGCTCAGTGGTGAGACTGCTGCTGGGGCTTATCCAGAGCTGGCGGTGCAGACTATGTCCAAGATCTGCCTACAAGCAGAGTCTTGCGTAGACCATGCTGCTGTTTTCAAATCAATCATGGCTTCAGCTCCAATTCCAATGAGCCCATTGGAGAGCCTTGCATCATCAGCTGTTCGCACAGCAAACACTGCCAAGGCAGTACTTATCTTGGTCCTGACCAAGGGAGGAACAACGGCTAGGCTTGTGGCCAAGTATAGGCCATCCATGCCGATTCTGTCCGTTGTGGTTCCTGAGCTGAAGACAGACTCGTTCGACTGGACCTGCAGTGACGAGGGGCCGGCAAGGCACAGCCTCATTGTGAGGGGTGTCATCCCAATGCTGAGTGCCACCACTGCCAAGGCCTCTGACAGCGAAGCCACTGACGAAGCTCTTGGTTTTGCCATTGAAAATGGGAAGGCGATGGGGCTATGCAACGCCGGTGAGTCCGTTGTGGCCCTGCACCGCATCGGGACTGCATCCGTCATCAAGCTCCTGACTGTGAACTAGGGTCTAGCCGAAGCGGGAGGCACACCATTTTGCTTGGTGGAATTTTTGTGAGGCTGCTTACGCATATCAGCGGATCTGCAGCTTTTTTGTTGCCAAAGATAGACTTTGGGTTCTGGTACACCTTGGTGTTACAAGGTTATGGGAATTTGTCATTTAGATGTTACCGATTTAAACAGTTATCAACTGCTATAGCTAATTAATTTGCAGCTGTGTTGCAACTGCTATCGTACTGAAAACTTTATGGTTGTTTCATTCACTTGCTGGTTGATTTAATTTCGTTTGGCAAAAAAAATCTTTGTTTGAGTTAGAACAATGATCAAGTATTACGATTAGTTCATTACAGGGTTCAGCGAAATCAATTTATTACCTACTAGTGTATTTGGACTTTTTGAGTAGAAGAATGTTATTGAACTAATTGCCTGTAGTAGAATAGTCTAATTTATAAGAGCACGGGTATAATAGCAGCCCGTAAGTGATCGTACTGTCATACATGAGCCTATATAAACTCCGGTAGTTCGTCGAGTACCACGAAGGGTCTCGATTAACTATCAACATATAACCAAGATCGTACATGATTCAACATACATGTCACACGTTACGTAAAGTTCACAATTACAATTCCATACATCAGAGTACGATTAAAAGTTATTACGAACCAAGTTCAGATAAAATAGTAGCGGAAGCAAATAGAGTTTGAAACAACATCTCCATGGTTGTTCAAATACTGTGCCAGCTCATGATCACAATCCCACAAAAAGCATAAGAGAGGGATTAACAAGAGATGCCTTGCCCAGGGCTCTACTCCTCGTTCACGGCGGGACAAAAGCGGTTCTTACAGTAGCCATGATATATCGTATGATTTGCAACAATGGAAAATAAACCCTAAGTATAAGAAGGTACTTAGCTAGACTTACCCGTCACAAACAAAAAATAAAGTGACTCCAAGGATCATGCAAGGCTTTATAAGTGGAGCTAGCTTAACAACATTTTGCATAAAAGGCCATTAATTCAACTATACCTTTTATAATTCGGCCATCAAGTTAATTATAGCTATTCATCTCTAGATTAGCAACTAACATATGCCAAACATGTGGTATATCATTTAGTAGCATAGCAATAGTAACCATATCTGGTGTAATAATTCCATGTTCATCATAACCATCATTCTATAATTCAGTTACTACGATGTTGGAGCTAGCCAAGTTTCTCACTATCCAGAAGAGACGGCGATTCAAATCGATTTCAACTAGCTGGAAATTTATTTCTAACATAAACCCAGACAGACCAGATCAACGGTCACCTTAGGTCACCTTTGGTACAACTCAGGGCCACATTTCGCGGGTTCGATCAGCACCACACAATCAGGGACGACCAGCTGCCAGGACGTTCGGGCCCGGCCTGTCCTTGGGCTCATGTCTGGCTCCCCGCACATCCTTACTATCATCCAAAGTGCGCACTCTTACAGAACGGGTGAAAAGTCCTAATATGGCTAGAGGGGGTGAATAATCTATTTAATAATCTACAAACCGACTAGAGCAATTTGATTAGTATAACAAATAGCAAAATACAAACTTGCTCTAGCTCTATAAGGGTTGCAAACCACCTATCTAACAATTCTAGTTGCTATGATAACTAGACACCCAATTTGCTATGTTACTACTCACTAAGAGGTCTCACACTTGCTACATTAAAGAGCTCCACTAGATGAACTTAAAACAACAAAGCAAGCTCTCAATTCTAATTACACTAAAGAGCTTGTTACAACTAATTTGCAAGAATATAAATGAGTAAGTAGGGTGATTATACCGCCGTGTAGAGGAGTGAACCAATCACAAGATGAACACTAAATCAATCACCGGAGAATATCAAAGGGCAAGAGACAATCAATTTTTCTCCCGAGGTTCACGTGCTTGCCGGCACGCTAGTCCCCGTTGTGTCGACCAACACTTGGTGGTTCGGCGGCTAAGAGGTGTTGCACGAACCTCGTCCACACGATTGGACACCGTAAGAACCTACCCACAAATGAGGTAACTCAATGACACGAGCAATCCACTAGAGTTATCTTTCGACGCTCCACCGGGAAAGGCACAAGACCCCTCACAATAACCACGATTGGAGCCGGAGATAATCACCAACCTCCGCTCGATGATCCTCGCTGCTTCAAGCCGTCTAGGTGGCGGCAATCACCAAGAGAAACAAGTGAATCCCGTAGTGAAACATGAATACTCTAGATGCAATCACTCAAGCAATGCACTTGGATTCTCTCCCAATCTCACAAAGATGATGAATCAATGATGGAGATGAATGGGAGGGCTTTGACTAAGCTCACAAGGTTGCTATGTCAATGCAAATAGCCAAGAGGGTGAGCTTAAGCCGACCATGGGTTTTAAATAGAAGCCCCCATGAAATAGAGCCGTTGGCTCATCAGTCCACTGAAAAACTGGGCGACCGGACGCGCTGGTTAGATCGACCGGACGCTGGACCCCAACGTCTGGTCGCTTGATGCACGCCACGTGGCCCCTGCTACAAATATTGATCGCCCGATCTCAACGGTCATCAGTACATTTAAGTTGTGACCGGACGCGCTGCTTCGAAGTGACCGGACGCAGGACCTCAGCGTCCGGTCATTTCCAATAAGCATCCAGAGACAATTTTTCACGATCGGCCTCACCCAGCGTCCGGTCAGTCACCCTCTTTACTATGTGCTACCACGTCAGTAGGACCGAACACACCCCATTAGTGTCCGATCACTAAGTGACCCAACGTCCGGTCGAAGACCGACGCCAGCGTCTTCACTGCTTCCACTGACCGAACGCAGGACCCCAGTATCCGCTCACTGCGTGACTAGCGTTCGGTGCACTATGTGAAATCCTATCTTTTCTGTACAGAGCGCCGGTGGCACCGTCGGACTGTCCGCACTCTACAGGCGGACACTCCACCGGTGTAGTTGCAAACCATTGCTCCCAAGTGCTAAACACAATGTGTATCACCTTCGTGCATGTATGTTAGCATATTTTCACAAATATTTTCAAGGGTGTTAGCACTCCACTAGATCCTAAATGCATATGCAATAAGTTAGAGCATCTAGTGGCACTTTGATAACCGCATTTTGATATGAGTTTCACCCCTCTTAATAGTACGGCTATCGAACTTAAATGTGATCACACTCGCTAAGTGTCTTGATCACTGAAACGAAAAGGCTCCTACCACTTATACCTTTGCCTTGAGCCTTTTGTTTTCCTTTCTCCTTTTCCAGGTCCAAGCACTTGATCATCACCATGGAATCACCATCATCATGTCATGATCTTCATATGCTTAATCACTTGGAGTAGTGCTACCTATCTCATAATCACTTTTGATAAACTAGGTTAGCACTTAGGGTGTCATCAATTCACCAAAACCAAACTAGAGCTTGCTCCTCTCCTTCTAGAGCTATGGCCTAAGGTGCCTCCTGATGTTCCTCTTCTTCTTCGTTGAATTCCAAAAGAGTGATCCTCTCGGACGATCCTATATGCATGAGCACGGAATAAGATATCATGGATGCATATATAATGACAAGTAGCATAGGATATAGTGTGATGAAAAGCATCCTCCTAAGTGTTCTCAATAGCATTGCTTTAAGGTGATAACAAGTTACATTTTCTTTCACCGAGTAGGTGCCTATCTCTTCAATAGTAAATAAACAAACACTTATGTAGATCATTATCTGGACTTCAAGGCAGCAGCCAATTATTTTGACCATAACAGGAGTTATACACATCTAATTAATATGGTTATGGAGTTTCATGAAAGCTTATGAAATTAGCTACTACTTTCTTTTAATCGCCTCAAAGTGATTCAGCAGTTATCTAGGTCCAACAATTTAATCTTCAGATCTGTCCAGAAAGCAAGTATTTCTGATAGTAGAATTCTAACAGCCATAATTCTTAAACCATAAGTCCTATGACTATACAAATTTAACACAAGGTATATAAGTAAGTTATCTACAACTTTGTTATTAACCATCTTTATATAAAATATCATTATCATCATGAAATCATCACCGCAACAGAAACTACACATGCAGTCATCTAGTTGAATTATAAAATAATAATTAACTAGTTGCCTATAAAAAATACTTCTAAGCCTCACTAATAGTATAAACAAATTATATGCATCACACACACCACAGAAAACATAATGGTTAAGCCTAACTAATTTATTTTTATTTATTTATTAATTTCCTTAGATAATAAGGTGATTTATAGAGTAAATATTTCCATTGCTCAATAAATTCCAAGAAAATAACAGTAGAATACAAATGACCCTAATAGTCTACTGTACAATTTTCGTGCTATTTGGATAAGTATAACCGCCTCTACAAAAATGACAAGCTACATATGCTTAGTTTAGCAGAAATAGTTTAGCCTAGTGAAAAGTGTCGAGCAATAGATTTCATATTTTTCTTACTTTCATCCTAGCATAACACTACTGTGTAAAAATTTGCATGATCATATGTTATGTATTTTTACCCCATTTATTTTCACTAGAAACTAGCAATTAATTAAGATTAAATAGGAAGACCATATTTTAAGTATGCTTACTGTAGGTTTAATATTTTTTCTAGCTAGAGCATGTCAACACAAGACCAGCAAAATTAGAATCACTATTTTATGACCTTCTTAGCTCAAGTTATGCAATTTACAAGATAGAAACTATTTTAAAAGCACTTATCTTGCTCAATTTAATTCTCCTAGAAAAATACTCTAAACAGTAGATTTCATATTTTTATCAAATAGTACACTTCAAGATGAATCCAACAAAATTTGGTTCACCCCATTTGGATACTCCTAGTTCAAGATATACTTTTTGCAAGTTTGCTACAAAATCTGTGAAAATAAATAAAGAAAATTAAATTCACTCGGGGTCTGCTGCTAGGTACACCCGGTCCAAACACCCCGCTGTGACAGTCGCATGGACTCTAGAAGTCAACCAACCCCACACGTCAGTGAGACCGAGGT